TTTTCCTGGATAGAGCTGGAACCCAAACTACTAAGTGAAGTATCCCAAGAATGGAAAAACAGGCCGGGCGCGGTGGCTCACGCCTGTAATCCTAGCACTCTGGGAGGCCGAGGCGGGGCGGATTGCTCAAGGTCAGGAGTTTAAAACCAGCCTGAGTGAGACCCCGTCTCTACCATAAATAGAAAGAAATTAATTGGCCAACTAATATATATATATATATATATATATAAAAAATCAGCCGGGCATGGTGGCTTGTGCCTGTAGTCCCAGCTACTCGGGAGGCTGAGGCAGGAGGATCCCTTGAGCCCAGGAGGTGGCACATGCCTGTAGTCCCAGCTACTCGGGAGGCTGAGGCAGGAGGATCCCTTGAGCCCAGGAGTTGGTTTGAGGTTGCTGTGAGCTAGGCTGACGCCACGGCACTCACTCTAGCCTAGGCAAGAAAGCGAGACTCTGTCTCAAAAAAAAAAAAAGAATGGAAAAACAAGCACCACATATACTCACCAGCAAATTGGTATTAACGGATCAACACCTAAGTAGACACATAGGAATTATATTTATTGGGTATTGGGCAGGTGGGAGGGGGGAGGAGGGGACAGGTATATATATACATAATGAGTGAGATGTGCACTGACTGGGGGATGGTCACGCTTGAAGCTCAGACTTGAGGGGGCAGGGGGGCAAGGGCATTATATGTAACCTTAAAATTTGTACCCTCATAATATGCTGAAAAAAAATACTCCAAAAAAAAAAAAAAGACAGTAACAAGCGCTGGGAAGCATGTAGGGAAAACAGAACTCTCATACATTGCTGGTATGTAAAATGATGCAGCTACTTTGGAACACAATCTGGCAGTTCCTCAACAAGTTAAACAGAGTTACCATACGATACCATCTACCCAAGAGAAATGAAAACATATATCCACACAAAAACTTGTACACAAGTGTTCATAGCAGCACCATTCACAATAGCCAAAAGGTAGAAACAATCCAAATGTCTATCAACTCATGAATTGATAAACAAAATGTATTATAACCATGTAATAGAATATTACTCAGCAATAAAAATGGAATATTGATACATGCTACAACAAAGATGAACCTTGAAAATATTATGTTAAGTCAAAGAAGCCAGAGGAAAAGACCACATACTATATGATTCCATTTATATGAAATGTCCAGAAAATACAAATCTATAGAGATAGAAACTAGATTAGTGGTTGCCTGGGGCACAGGAGCAGGAATGATTGCAAATGAGCATGAGGGATCTTTTGGGGGTGATGATAATGTTCTAAAACTAGACAGTAACCAGGGTTTTACAACTCTATAGATTTACCAAAAATTATTCACTTTTACATTTGTATTGGTTATTTTTATTTTAATATCTCAATAAATATGATGTCTCTCTTTAAGTAACCTAAAGTAAGACACTTTTACTAAAGTCAAAACCATAACATCTGGGAGGCCAAGGTGGGTGGATCGCTCAAGGTAAGGAGTTTGAAACCAGCCTGAGCAAGAGTGAGATCCCATTTCTACTATAAATAGAAAGAAATTAATTGTCCAACTAAAAATATATATAGAAAAAATTAGCCGAGCATGGTGGCACATGCCTGTAGTCCCAGATACTTGGGAAGCTGAGGCAGAAGGATTGCTTGAACCCAAGAGTTTGAGGTTGCTGTGAGCTAGGATGACGCCATGGCACTCTAGCCCAGGCAACAGAGTGAGACTCTGTCTCAAAAAAAAAAAAAAAATCACAGTATCAAATATGCTTTTTTAAAACTATACTACCAGCCAGGCACAGTGGCTCATGCCTGTAATCCTAGCACTCTGGAAGGCCGAGGTCCGGAGTTCAAAACCAGCCTGAGCAAGACCCTGTCTCTACTATAAATAGAAAGAAATTAATTGGCCAACTAATATATATAGAAAAAATTAGCCGGGCATGGTGGTGCATGCCTGTAGTCCCAGCTACTTGGGAGGCTGAGGCAGAAGGATTACTTGAGCCCAGGAGTTTGAGGTTGCCGTGAGCTAGGCTGATGCCACGACACTCACTCTAGCCTGGGCAACACAGTGAGACTCTGTCTCAAAAAACTAAAAAAAATAAATAAAAAAAAAAACTATACTACCTTCCTACCTTAATTCTGTCCACTCTCATCTTCAGCCTGGCTTCCTGGGTTAAGAACCCTTGTTTTAGAGGGGAAAAGGCAGACAACAATAAGATGTAATAGCTGGTAGCCTAAACAATGAATAAGAACAACCAATTTTAAAAACTAGGCCAAGAACTTCACCAAACATAATATATCTGGGGCCATTGTAGATCCAGTAGTTTCTTAACCATAAAACAGAATTTAAGAACACAGAGTGAGAGAAACCTGGAATCGAATCTTGGTTCTGCCTTTCATTCCTCAGAGGATATTTTAGGTAAATTATTTAACCTCATTCATTCTTTTTTTTTTGAGACAGAGTCTGGTTCTGTTGCCCAGACTAGAGTGCTGTGGCATCTGCCTAGCTCATAGCAACCTTAAACTCATGGGCTCAAGCAATCTTTTTGCCTCAGCTTCCTGAGTAGCTGGGACTACATACAGGCATGCGCCACCATGCCCGGCTAATTTTTTCTATATATTTTAGTTCACCAATTAATTTCTTTCTATTTTTAGTAGAGACAACGGGTCTCGCTCTTGCTCAGGCTGGATTTGAACTCCTGACCTTGAGCAACCCGCTGCCTCGGCCTCCCAGAGTGCTAGGATTACAGGCGTGAGTCACTGCGCCTAGCCTCATTCTTGATTTTATTTGTGAAGTCTCACAGAACTGATGTAAAAATATACATATAAAATACTTAGCACAGTGCTAGGCACAATATAATAATCAATAAATGAAAGCTTTTATTTTCTACCTCTTAATAACCCCAAAGGGCAGCACCATATTAAAGCACTATTCAACAATACTCCAGAAAACATTAAATGATCTTCAGAAGACTCTTTAGGAAGGCAGAAAAGTATCTAATACATTTTTTAAAGCTTGCCAGCAATAAACCATATTGGCATTGCTAAAGGGAAATGCTCCAGTGACCAGGATAATATCTGTTCTACATGCAGCAATGTAAAAACATAACTCAGTGAAAAAGTCTATAAAAACCAGGCTTCAAACTTGGAGTCTCTTACTAAGTTCACAGCTATATATCATAACCTATGTATGACCAGTTTTTCTTCATAAAACTATAAATACACTTATCTAAGCCTGAGGAGTATATATAAAGATAATTGAGAAAATACTTCTATAGAGAGTGAAATTACAGGAAAAATCTCACAAATCTGTTATCTATCTCTACTCCTTCAACATGTTTGATATACAGTCATGCACCATATATAATGACGTTTCAGGTAACAACAGACTATATATATGAAGATTATCCTATAAGATTATAACACCATATTTTTACTATACCTTTTCCATTATGTTCTAATGTGTTTCAATATGTTTAGATACATAAATATCATTGTGTTACAACTGCCTACAGGATTAGATACAGTAACATGCTAGGCAAGTTTGTAGCCTAGGAGCAATAGGTTATACTATTTAGCTTACCTGTGTAGGAGGCTATACCATCTATGTTTGTGTAAGTATACTCTATGATGTTCACATAACAACAAAATCACCTAACAACGCATTTCTCAGAATGTATCCTCATCATGGAGTGACGTGTGACTGCATAAGCTTGGAGCATTTGCATTAAAAATTCAAAATATTTTTCCCCCTGTAGATTACCATGATTCTAGCCATACGAAATCCAGTACTGATAAAATCAGTACTTTGTCATCCCATTTGTTGGCTCAAATAATTTCTTCGAATTTTATAACCAGTAATTGAAAGAACGCATATTTAAACAAAGCTACATAGTAAATTTTCCATTAACAATACTCTCTCTTTTCATATTTCATATTCATATCAACAAGCACTTACTTACCAAGTAAGTGCCAATGTGCCAGGCACTGTGTCAAGGTCTCGGGATAAAAGAACAAAAATCAGTCCTTGTCTTCAAGGAGCCTACAGTTTATCCAAGCTTAAAATATGCTACTGTTGGGCCAGGCATGGTGGCTCACATGCCTGTAATCATAGCACTTTGGGAGGCCGAGGCAGGCGGATCATTTGAGCTGAGGAGTTCAAGACCAGCCTGAGCAAGAGTGAGATCCCATCTCTACTAAAAAAATAGAAAGAAATTATCTGGACAACTAAAAAATATACATATATATATATATATATATATATATACATATAAATTAGCTGGGCATAGTGGCGCATGCCTGTAGTCCCAGCTACTTGGGAGGCTGAGGCAGGAGGATCACTTGAGACCAGGAGTTTGAGGTTGCTATGAGCTAGGCTGATGCCACAGCACTCTAGCCCAGGCAACAGAGTGAGACTCTGTCTAAAAAAAAAAAAAAAAAAAAAGATATACTTGACTTCTGATTTAAGAAGGTGAATTGAACACCTATATCTCTTGTACTTTTCAAGACCCCAGAAAAGTGATGGTAAAGGAGTACAAAAGTATAAATCACAAGTCAAGGACCTAAATGGGAAATGGCATAGCAAAAACAAGATTTCAACAATTTCTTCCATTTTGAGAGAAGGGAAAAAAAGATTTTAACAATTTCTGACAGAAGACAAAAAAGAACTGATTGATAGCACAAATAAAGGATGCTACAACCTAAATTATGTAATAAAAAGTGTTCCAACGCAGGAGAGAGCAGACTTGCGGGGCAAAATCCTAGAGAGGCTCCACACATAAGAGAAGACTGATCCCACAGAATAAGAAAAAGGCTGAAAATAGAAATTAACTGAGGTCTAAATTATGACACAGTTGATGAGTCCTTCCCCCAAAAGAAATAAATCTCTGCATGTAGAATACCAAATTCAGTAAACTGATTAGATTTAGGGTACCCTAGAGCAAAGCTGTCTGCCTTCTGGCATTTGGGCCCTCCAACAGTAATAACCAGCTGCCCACACACTCACCTCAAAGTTTACAACCATTCCCAGGTACACAGAACTCCCAGTCAGCCCTTCTACTAGCTCATTCTTAAATATGAACAAATTCAGAAGACAGCCATTTGAAGAAAGCCTGCAACATAAAAGAGACAGATCAAGATAAAGAAAAATGGCTGGGTGCCGTGGCTCATGCCTGTAATCCTAGAACTTTGAGAGTCCAAGGCCGGAGGCACACTTAAAGCCAGGAGTTTCAGACCAGCCTAGGCAACACATCGAGACCCCATCTCTACAGAAAAATTTAAAAATTAGCTGGGAGTGGTTGCACATGCCTGCAGTCACAACTACATAGGAGGCTGAGGCAAGAAGATCGCTTGAGCCCAGAAGTTTGAAGTTGGAGTGAGCTGACACCACTGCACTCTAGCCCAGGAAAAAGAGTGAGACCTTGTCTCAAAAAAAAAAAAAAATGTCCTTGGAGTAGCTAAAGTAATTCAAGAAACCATTTCTATTTTAATGTTTAAAAGTAAAATACAATTTTATGGTTCAAAAATCAAATAAAGAGGTATATAACAGGCAGGTGCATTCCCAATTCTGTCTCCTATCCATTCAGTGCCCACTCCAACTAACAGGTAACCATTCATTATATTCTTGCATATCCCTCCAGAGTCTCTTTAGGCAAATAAGTAAATATGAACATATGTTCTCTTCTTCCCTTTATACACAAAACGTTGCATAGTATACACTAAACTGTTTTTACTGTCATAATAACTTAAGATACTTTCTTTTCTTTTCAGTACATATAGGTTTCTCATTCTTATTTTGTAGTATTCAAATAACATTGCAGATTTCATTTTACATACACACATACACACACACATACACACATATATATATATAAACTAGGATTACCGGATCAAAGGAAATTTGTATATTTTTTTTTCTTTTTCTTTTTGAGACAGAGTCTCACTCTGTTGCCCCGGCTAGAGTGCCCTGGCGTCAGCCTAGCTCACAGCAACCTCCAACTCCTGGGCTCAAGCAATCATTCTGCCTCAGCCTCCTGAGTAGTTGGGACTACAGGCATGCGCCACCATGCCCGCTAATTTTTTTCTATTTTTGGTAGAGACGCAGTCTGGCTCTTGCTCACGCTGGTCTCGAACTCATGAGCTCAAACGATCCACCCGCCTTAGCCTCCCAGAGAGCTAGGATTACAGACGTGAGCCACCGCACCTGGCCTGTATATTTATGTTTTAAACTTTTATTGGAATATACTTATATATCCAGAAAAGTACATGTAATATATGTGTATATTTATATAATGCTGCCAAATTGCCTTCCATGGGCATTGTACCAATTTAAACTCCCACCTGCAATGTGTGAGAGTATCTTTTACCCCACAGACTTAACAACAAAGAGTGTTATGAAATATTTTGATTTTTAACATTCTGATAGATTTAGATTTACAAAAAGGAATCTCAGTCTGGTTTCAATTAGCATATATCTTATGAGTGAGGGTAAGCATCTTTCACATAAACAATCATTAAAGTCAAGAATAAGCCAAAAATTCCTGCTACCAACCAAGGAAATAAAACAAGATATATGAATATGAGAAAGTAGAAGACAAAACTCAAAACTTGCAAACTATATGATTATCTATCTAGAAAACTGAAGCAAATCAACTAAAACACTATAATAGGAACTAACAAGAGAGCTCTCAGCAAATAGGCCAAAGACAAAATCAACATACAGAAATCAACACTCTGAATATAATTTAAAAATAAACAACTATCCTGTTCACAAGAGCAACAAAGCTATAAAATATTAATTTAGGAATAAACTCAAGAAGAAATATGCAATACCTATGTTAAGAAAACTAGACTGAGCACAGAGGCTCACACCTATAATCCTGGCACTTTGGAAGGCTGAGGTAGGAGGATTGTTTGACCAGGAGTTTGATACCTGCCTGGGCAACATAATGAGACCCTGTTTCTACAAAAAAAATTTAAAAAATTAGCCAGGTCTGGTGGCATGCCCTGTAGTCCTAGCTACTCATATAGGGAGGCTCAGGCAGGAGGATCTCTTGAGCCTAGGAGTTACAGGTTACAGTGAGTTATGATCATGCCACTGTCCCTCAGCCTGGTGACACTGCAAGGTCCCATCTCAAAAAAATAAAACAAAACAGAAAATTGTGGAATTTTACTGAAATACATAAACTGCACCATGTTCCTTAGAAAGACCCAATATCAACATCTTTACAATTCCCCCAACCCCTCCAGATTATTCCAAAATCCATGCAAATCCAATCAAAATCCCAAAGAGGCCTGGCTTAGTGGCTCATGCCTGTAGTCTTTGGGAGACTGAGGTGGTAGGACGCCTTGAAGCCAGGAGTTCGAGACCAACTTGGACAACATAGTGAGACCCAGTATCTACAAACAGTAAAAAAATTACCTGAGCATGGTGGTGTGTGCCTGTGTTCCTACCTACTCCGAGGCTAAGGCAGGAAGATCACCTGAGCCAGCCCAGGAGTTCGAGGCTGCTATGACCTATGATAACACTGCCATTGCACTCCAGCCTGGGCGACAGAGCAAAACTCTGTCTCTTAAAAAGAAAATCCCAGGCCAGGCCTGGCTCACGCCTGTAATCCTAGCAGTCTGGGAGGCCGAGGCAGGAGGATCACTCAAGGTCAGGAATTCAAAACCAGCCTGAACAAGAGCAAGACCCCATCTCTACCAAAAAAATAGAAAGAAATTAATTGGGCAACTAAAAATACATAGAAAAACTTAGCTGGGCATGGTGGTGCATGCCTGTAGTCCCAGCTACTTGGGAGGCTGAGGCAGAAAAGGATTGCTTGAGCCCAGGAGTTTAAGGTTTCTGTGAGCTAGGCTAAAGCCACAGCACTCTAGCCAGGGCAACAGAGTAAGACTCTGTCTCCAAAAAAAAAAAAAAATCCAAAGAGATGTTTTTGTCCAAAATTGACAAGTTCATTCTAAAAAGAGTACAAGGAAAGCCAAGAAAATCTTCAAAAACAGCACTGACAATTTGCCTTACCAAATGTTTACATATAATATAGCAATAGTAACTTAAACAATGTGGTTTCAGAGCAAAAATAAGACAAATGGACTAATGAAATAGAAGAACCATGCTGAGTGTGATGGCTCACACTTGTAATCCCAGCACTCTGGAAGGCTGAGGCAGGAGGACTTGCTTAACCACTTCGGTACGGAGCATCAACTACAGTCGATAGCCACAGATGAACATGCACAGCCCAGTATCTACTATAGTTGATAGCCACAGATGAATGTGCACAGTGACTTTAGCCAACAGCTATGATATATGAAGGTACACAGCCAAGCGTCAACTTTAGCCAACAGCTGTGATATGACTTTTCTAATTTTTCATTTATCAAAATAAAATTGTGAACATTTAAAAATAACGTAATGAAAACATATATGTGTATGTTACCATTCTGATTTACAAGTAAAGCTGCCGGTAAAGTAAAGGAAGCTTTCAGTGCTTTAAAGCTTTCCTCATCACACAAGATAATTTCTATGTATCAATCACCTACTCTCCCATCCCTAATTAACACCTTATTCTGCCTAACCTTTAATAGAATCTATGGCCAAACTACATACAGCTCTCAGGCCAAACCCACCTCACTATTTGTTTCTGTGCAGCCAGTGAGCTAAGAAAGGTTTTTACAGTTTAAAGGTTTTACATTTTACATTTAAAAAATCAAAAGAAAATAGTATTTCATGACACATGAAAATTATTTGAAATTCATAGTTCAGTGTCCATAAAATAAAGTTTTATTAGAACATAGCCACAAATTCATTTACACATTGCCATGGCTGCTACAACAACAGAGTTGAGTCACTGGCAACAGACACTCCACAGCCCACAAAGCCTAAAATATGTACTACCTGGCTCTTTACAGAAAAAGTTTATCAATCCTTGCTTTATAATTTCCCAAAGAATTTCTCATCTATTAGTAGATCCAAATTCAACACAATTTCTACCACACTACTACTTTCTAAGTACCCAACCCCTGCTGATTAATCAATGAGTTTAGACATTTGGTGCTAAAACTTACCTGATGGGTAGAAACATAAAAGCTTTAAATTGGAGGGAAAACATTTCTCCATTGAGATACTTTGATTCCAGAAGTATATTAATAGAATATGCTGCATTTCACATGTATTTGTATAATTTACAAAGTGTACTTTATCATTTGATTAGCAAAGAAACCCTGCAAAGTAGGTAGGGCTTTTGTTTTGTTTAATAACAAATAAGGAAACAGATGCTTACAGACTTAAACAAGATCACACTGAGGCAAGACCAGACTGACTCCTACTCCACTAACATTTCCATTGGGGAACACAGTCTCCTTTCATAAGGAAAATACCTAGTTTTGTTCTGTTTTGCTTAGAAGCAAAACAGTAATTCATCTATTTCAAATAGTAAGAAATCAAAGATGTGAAGGGATCTAAGGTATACTAAGAATTTTTGTTCAATAATACAGCCAGTTTAAAGAATATGCTGAGCACTTGGGGAGGAGAAAAGGGTAAAAAGAGGTAGCACAAGTCAGAGTCTTTGCCTTCATTGCCTGGGGCCTCAACTAGGAGATCTTAGCTGGTCTCTTGACATTCAGTTTTCTATTCAAAGTCACCTCCTCAAAGAAGCCCTCCCTAACCACTTGAGCTAAATAAGCTCCTCCCCCAACATCCCAGCACCCTTTCAAAGTTTTCTTGTTTTTTTCAATTTATTTTTTTTAACTTTTTTTTTATTTCAGCATATTATGGGGGTACAAATTTTAAGGTTTCAAATAATGCCCTTTCCCCCCTCCCCCCACAAGTCTGAGCTTCCAACGTGACCATCCCCCAGATGGTGCACATCTCACTCATTATGTATGTATACACCTGTCCCCCTTCCCACCTGCCCAACAAAGTTTTCTTCTTGGCATCTATTTTCTGATATGATTTATTTGTTCACAGTCTGTCATCTTCCAATGTAATGAAAGCTCCAAGAAGACAGGGTCATTGCCTCTTTTGCTTCCTTTTCATCTACTCCCAACCCTGGCACATTGGAGGAATGCAATAAATATTTGTTGAATGAATGGTATATCTCAGGTAAGTTATACTC